CAGTGGGCCTGCATTCATAGTGGGGTACCGCAGGGTTCAATTTTAGGACCACTTTTGTTCCTAATTTACATAAATGATATCGTTGTCGTTGGCGTCCTCAGTCTCGGAAGACTATGGAATTCTGCGTCCGGATAGGTTACTCCATGGCTTGATTGCAGCATCTTTGGTGACTGTAGAGCCCAATTCTGGATGTACAGCTCCTGGTGCAGTTTTGGCAGATGAAGACGGTGTCTGGTTTCACTGAGGATTTCTCCACATTTTTTCTGCGTTCTCTCCTCTCTGCCCACTGTAGGTGTCGCTTTTGTTCATAGCTGTTTACACCCGCCTTGATGGTTCGCCTCCACCCACTGCGATCTGCTGCTGCAGCTTCCCATGTTGTGGGGCTGATGTCGCAGGCTTCCATGTCGCGCTTGCAGACGTCTTTATAGCGCAGTGCTGGCCTCCCCACTGGTCTGACGCCAGAGTCCAGTTCTCCGTAGAGGATGTCTTTGGGGAGCCGTCCATCGTCCATGTGATGAACATGGCCGAGCCAGCGAAGGCGGCGCTGAGTGAGCAGAGCATACATGCTGAGGATGCCAGACTTTTCCAGGACAACCGTGTTGGAAATGTGGTCCTGCCATGTGATCCCCAGTATCCTTCGCAGGCAGCGGAGTTGGAACGTGTTGAGCCTGTGTTCATGGCGGGCATACAGGGTCCATGTCTCGCTGGCGTACAAGAGGATGCTGAGGACACAAGCCTGGTAAATACGGATTTTGGTGTTGATGGTCAGCATGGTGTTCTCCCACACCCGTTTGGTGAGGCGTGCCATTGTTCCAGCGGCCTTGCCGATCCGCTTGTCGATTTCAGTATCAAGTGATAGGTTGCTGCAAATGGTGGAACCCAGATAGATGAACTCCTCCACTACCTCCAGAGTGTGGTCACCAATGCAGATGCTGGGGGTGCTGCTGACATCCTGACTCATAATGTTGGTCTTCTTGAGGCTGATGGTAAGGCCGAAAGCACTGCTAGCATGAGCGAAGCGGTTAATGAGTCGCTGGAGGGCTTCCTCAGTGTGGGTTGCTAGCGCGGCGTCATCGGCGAACAGCAATTCCCGCAGGAGTATGTGACGCACCTTGGTCTTGGCACGCAGACGGGCTAGATTGAAAAGCTTCCCGTCTGTTCTTGTGTGGAGGTAGACGCCGTCGTCGCAGGAGTCGAAAGCGTAAGAGAATAGTAAAGAGAAGAAAATGCCGAAGAGTGTGGGAGCAAGGACGCATTCCTGTTTTCCCCCGTTGTTAATTGGGAAGGGGTCTGATGAAGAGCCGTCGTACTGTATTG